CACATTGGCCCCAAGAGAAGGTTGCCTTCGAGTGTTTAAGGTTTCTGTAATCTGCTTTGTTTTAAGGGGGTGGGTGATTGACCCACCGCCCAACCTCCAACCTGGAGGACCAGGGGCTGTTCTTTGTCTGGTCTCTACCCCTCGACCAATCCGGCATGGTTAAACCTGCCAGGGACTAGAGTCACAGAAGGCACAGCTCTAAGGGTCATTGAGACACCCAAGCCTCACCACCACTACAAGGTGACAGCCCAAGGTGAAGAAAGCCTTCGAACACCCACATGTAAATGATAAGACTGGAAGTGTGTATTCATATATAAACACTTGCTGCACCAAGTTTCTGTCACAAGTGTGCTTCTACATGTCGCATTACAATGGAACGGTAACAAAAGAAAAATTATTATGAATTGCAACATGAGCCTGTAGGAAATAATAAATGGGATAACAAGAAACGTTTCAATGTCTGATTTCTTAATATAGCAGAGGCCATACCGCCATTACTTTACACGATGGGGTAAAGTAATACTAGGATGAGTGTTCTTTTTTCAAAAACCCCTTTCATAAATCGCACTGTAAGTGGATGTGAACGAAAGTTTCTACGGGTATCCATCTGTAAAACTAACGAGAGAGCTGATGGGGCAATGTTCAGTGTGGAGTAGCTAAGGTGTTTGTCATATAAGCCTGTCAGGAAAGCTAAAGCTTGATTGATTTTTGGTGAATAATCATTTCTTTTCCTTTCACCACAGAACATGAGCCACTGTTCAAGGTAGGTCTTGTACTGTTTTTGGTTGCCGGATCACTATGATGGAATGAGGATGTCCGCAACGTTTCCAGAAATGTTGTATTTTGTGAAGGAATTCCTGAGACAGGACACACCATCAATTTCAGTTTTCTTCACCGAGGGTGTGGTTCCTGATATCCTGGATGTTGAATGAGGTTCTTGTGTGGGTTCAGGATCCATGGTTTTTTTTAAAGATCTGCAGAAGAAAGGGGAACCATGGTTGGCTGGGTCATAACGGGATAATGAGAATTCCTGTTGCCTTTTCCGGAATCAGGCTGCCAATCTAGTGAGAAGGCATCTACAACAGAGCATCCAGGGTCTGGTTTCCAGGAACAGTAGGTATCAAACTTATGATTGAGCCTTGTGGCAAATAGGTCTTCTATTATGGTATTCTATCACGGTATTCTGCTGTGATTTCCTAGAAAGCGCCAGTGTTCAGAGCCCACTCATGCTTGTCATTGAAATGCCGTGACTCTTCATCTGAATCTGCATTTGATATTCTAGGAATATGAACAGCAGAGACCTATATCTCCCGAGAAATTGACCATTCCCACAGGTCTTTAGCTAGTTAGTCTAACTCAAGGGATTTAGAACTCCCCATGTTATTTACATAGGCAATTGCTGTTGTGTTATCTAGCTGGAGCCGAATTTGTATTCCTCTTATATGATCTGCAAAGGATTTAAGGCCAAAAACTGCTGCCTGCAGTTCTAGCAGGTTAATGTGCTTTAAAGCCTCAAATTGGGTCCACCTCCCCCCAATCTTCGTTACATCAAATACTACTCCCCATCCCTTTTTTGTAGCGTCTGACTGTATAATCATCGAGGGTAGGAGATGTGCTTCTTAGCCTGCGGTGCATATATAATCCACCAGAGCAGCTCCTGAATTGATGCCTCTGACAATTTCATTGGCATATTAAAATTTCCTGCATTAGCTGCAAGTGCATGTGTTTTATCGTGATCGAGTACCCTGTAGTGAAGATATCCAAACTCTGCTCCTGGGAACAATGAGATGATAAGGCCGATTACCCTGGCTAAATCTAAAATAAGGGGTGTTGGCTTTTTTACCATCTGGCGACAAGCTTCGACAATCTTTCCTATCTTTTCTGGTGTTGGTGAGATTGTCATTTTTATTGAGTCAAGAATAAAACCAAGAAATGTCAGAATTTGAGTAGGCAGGAATACCGATTTGTTGGGGTGAGTGTAAAAGCCCAGTTCGGTGAATAATCTCGCAGTGCTAATAATGGTAAGCCTGTAGCATTCATCCCTGGTATCACCTTGCAAATAGGAGTCATCAATATAACCCATCCTTATATGGCCCTGATTGTGCAGTGTTGAATAAACTGGCTTAAGCAACTTTGCAAAAATGCGTGGAGCACTCGAGAGGCCATTAGGGAGGCAAGTATCTTTGTAAAGGCAACCCTTAAATTCAAATTACAAAATGTTTTGTTGGTCTTTGTGTATAGGCACTTTGCAGTAGACATCGGCTTCAAATCCACAGATGCCATATAACAACCTGGCTTAATCATTTTTGTTACTGTGTCCAGGTTGTCCATTTTAAAATGATGGTGCTCCACTGATTTATTAAATTCTTTAAGGCTAAGAATCATTCGAAATGACCCATCAGATTTAGGTCTAAGGAAAATGGTAGATATAAATTCGCCAGGTTCATGATGTGATTGATAAATTACCCCTTTTGCTAAAATGGTTTTAATTTCTTGTCGAACTATAAGCTCTTCTTGAGCATTAAAGACACTCGGCCTGTAATGGGCTTGATAAGGCATAAGGCCTTCTTCAAAGGAAGTTTTTACACCAGATACATAGTTTAATATGTTTATATCAATTGTAATCTTACG